CGCAATATTTACTACCATATATTTATGTACATGTAGAGGCACTTAGAATCTTGCAGCTCAACCATAACGCTGTGCCTTTATCATGTAACATGTGAATTTCATCGAGCAGCTATTGTCTGTTTTCTAGCTAAGGTTGTCATTGCCATCGCTGGCATCGTTGTTATTTAAGCGTCAAGTCATGACTGTCAGTGTCATTATAAAACGGCTTAACTGTCACGTTATTAACCTCATTCTGAACGCTGCTGCTGTCAAGATGTCATCGAAGCCTTTGTCGTCTCTGTCGTGTCAGATGGAGTTTGCTTCTTCATACGACGGAAAGCTCATAGAAGGCTTTGTGACGAGGGAAGGTATGAAGGAAGCGTATAGAAATTGCTTCTATGCCCTCGCAGTGAAAATTGTTGGCATATCTGAAGTACTCAAACGTTGAGTGTTGAGACTTCCATGCCCCGGTTAGTTCTCTTGCCCACCCACCGCCGTTATGATTCAGGTCAATGGTGTAGCCTAGCGTGGACTAGGTTAGCAAAGCGGCCAACACAACTAGGCGAGTTTACTTTCACGCTACTAGCCTAATTGCTCTCGAAACAATTGCAGCCATTGCCGCCGCCAAATGGTTCTCACAGTGGCTGCGCCACTCTTCCCCCGGCCGCTTCCCGCCTAGTCCTCATATGCCTCCAGCATTTCACTTCTGCATCGGATGTGTGGAAAACAACATTGAAAGCAGTGTCTGCTTGCGTGGCTTCTGCTTGCTTGGCTGATGCCAGTAACAGCTGCTACGAAAGGGTACGCTCTCTTTCCTTGCCGAAATCGATCATCGTTGAACGAATCGGGCATACCCGGGTCAAATTGAGGATGGTGGGTCATTTTTAAGCCATGCGAACCGCATAACAAACAAACCGGCATTAAAACAAACAGAGAATACTGACTAGCTCGACCTGTATATTGCACAGTAATTGCAGCGGCAGCCGATCACTGGCGCTGCTACTGCTGATGCCGTCGCCACTAGCAAAACGAAGATTCTCTGCCACTACGACTACAGCTTAACTTGAGTAACTACTGCTACAACTACAACCTTTAAGTCGTCGACACTTGAAAGGTAGCGGCGTATTGGTTAGGGCAGTTCGCCTGAAAAAAAGGGCCTGTGAAGAGACGGAACAAGTGACGTAGGGAAGTGGCCGTCAGCCGGCCTTTGGAAAGGGAAATGCAGATCGGATATGTTGTTCGACACCGGCTTCACTTCGTGATATCTACGAAAAAGGCAGCGGACGCAGAGACGGTAGCCGACGGAGCGCAAGCGAACTTAACTCGGCGCTCGTGCACACGCACACACGCGCAAAGATGAAACTCCGTGTACAACCGACATTTGTTCGCGTAGCACTTTAGTCTATACATACTCCAAGTAGCTAGGAACCTGGTAAATTGTCGGTATCTACGTTATTGCCAGGGACGAGCAGCCAGGCGGCCCGGAGAAAGACGGGGCGATTGAGGGGCTCATCTCCTGAAGGTCGGGAGCCCTATTGGCGCCGGACAAGAATTCGGTATTCATCAACTTCTCAGTTCTATTTGTATGCGACTCCATTTGCCGAGAAATACTATCGAAGGAAACAAATGAACCAATCGAGATTATATATATATATAGGAGAAAAGAAATCTCCTATAACAAACGAATGCAGGCGACGGAGGGAAAATCCATACTGGACACGACATCATTATGTCAATGTAAGTGGTAAGGTGGCGCTTACCCAGTGGGCAAGAAATCAGCATCTGCTCCCCTAACTATCAGTGCAATGATAGTAGAGAAGAGGAGATCAAAGCGTTTCAAGTGTTTTCTTTTTCGTGATTGGCGAGGTAAGAGATCAGTTGATCTGAAAAGCCTTGTATTGTGTTACTGCTGCGAGCTCAGCGACTTAGCAAGCTTTTGTCAAAGGAAATGTTTTACATTCGTTATCTTTGAAACAACATTCGCTTATCTCCCTAGAGATCACGGAAAGCTCCTTACAGCACCTAAGCGAGCTAGCATCAGCGCTCTGTTACAAATCTTCTTACTTTGAAAATTGCGATCGGCTTTGACGGTAAAATAAAATTGAAACAGCATAAAAATCAGTCAAGAGGAAACGCCTTCTTAATATATATCAAGGTTGGCCTCTCACGGAACTCTGAGTACAAAGATTGTATCGAGGACTTTTAAGGAATTTGTTATTGAACTTGTATATCCCCGAAGATTCAAGTCCCAGAGCCTTTACTTTGGAGACTAAGATCTCGAACGTGGAGAAGATGTAAAGGTTTTGACATCGGATATTGAAGTACTACTTCGAGGAGACAAAAAAGGCGGGTACTCTGTCTGGTTTGTAGCGATGACTTACTCGCTTGCGGTGAATTATTTCTGACGCCTATCCTCCTAAAAGACTGAAATCCGCCTCTACAAAAACCTATTATTTAACATTTATAACTCTCAACTCATTGCTCGCCTCACTTCCCTTGCTGTGTACGGCCTTTATAATCTGAAATTACTCTGGGAAAAACTTTTGCAGTCCCACCTATCTATATCGGTTGGTTAAGCCTCATTGGTTAAGTAACTAAATCAGTCAAAAGTGCAAAGGCGACAGGTTTACGAGTTGGCAAGACGGTCCTTTGGCCTGTGCAAAAAGCTCACCGCTACGACTCCTGATTGCACGTTCGCTGGCAGCGAACTTCTAATGAAAGTGAATGGAGTGAGAGGCCAAAAAACTGGATGATGCTGGTAGCGCAATCGGAATAGGTAAGGGGTCCATGTCGCTTACATTAGTGAGAGTGACACCACTATCGTTGGCAAGCGGCGCGTTTAAAGATCATCACCCTCTACAGCTATCTGACAAAGACAAATAGGCAAAACTTACTCGTAGTTCTTGTCGAACCCTCTATACAGTCCCAGTTCACTCTTCGCTTCCACACTTGATCGCCTAAATCGTCAATCTGTTTTACGCACACAGGCACGTGTATGCTTATATCCGTCGATGTTTCGCGCATACGGGGACATGGCAAATACCCCGAGACGAATATGTATAATTTTCGTTCGTAGCTGCGTTGATTTGCTCAGGTAAGCCGACGGGCGAAGTAGTACTTCAGGACTAGCACCGATCTTTGCTGTTGGTATCCTAAGTTCCCTCTAAACGAAGATTACTTCTGCCTTCAATCAATAGACTCTATTGCTCGTGTATTACCCGCGTTGGCTAACGTTCGTACATACGATGGATCGCACTAGATACCGTCTACACATTATCGTATGTTGCCGCGACCGTGGAGTGCCAGAACATCAAATCGTAATGCTGCTGTTGTTGTCATCAAACGATAGACGACAAAAACAAAGTAATTAGCTTATACATTAAGCTGTGTAAGGAGAGATACTACTATAAAGAATACGTGTGGGAGCATGCAAGGGAGTTTTTATTTGTTTGTATTTATAGAACATTATCTAGCTAAATTCATTGTGGCACATAAGAGATCAGAGCAGCCATAAGAGGCTCGCCTCTCGCTTCAACAAGCACAGGTAGGTGCGAGGTTAGCATTATCATTTTCGACTGATAATCTAGATGATGAAAAGTGGCATGGATATAACGCTCCACTTTGACTCTCCAGTTCGCCCCGAAATGTGGACGAACGTAAATCGGCCTCGTCATCCTTTCTACGTACCTTTCCTTATCTTTGTCTCTGTTACAACTGATCGCCCTAGCGAGCGCCTGTTTGTCCTCAGAAAACGCGGTGCAAATAAGGCGCTATCCAGAATCAACACCGACCGCATCGCTCCCTCTTTGCTCCTTGTTTTCCCATGTGCTGGCGACAAACAGGTTACGCTGGCACCCTTGCGCTCTTTCATCCGCATGCTCTCCTCGCGCACGCTCACAGACAATGATACTTCCTTACACAGGACTCCAGTTTATTTCCACCCTCGTCTGGAGTCGTTGTCGTCACCTTTGAAGGTGCGGACAGGTATCATTTAGTCGTGGCACAGCCTTTCTCCTTTGCTTCTGCTGCTACGGCTACATATTTAGTGCTACCACACCTCGTCCAGTCTCTGTTACCTTCTGTCGCCAACGACAGCGTCTATGCCTTCATTGCAAACCGATTAAATCATTAGTGGCACAAATAGACACACGCGTAGAGACAAACACATAATGAAGGTGTTGTTGTATCGCTTGGCATTTGATTTAATTGTCTGACCAAAGGGCGAGGTAGTTAGATTTTCTGATAGACACAATGGCCTCTATCTCAAGATCTGTGTATATCGCCATAATGCTAATACGTATCATACTGAACTACGTATACTCTACAAACTTTAATATACATTTGTAAAAGTGAAACTCGGATATTCACGGAGAAACACAGGCAAATTCATACAAACGCACACTATTGCCGTACACCTGCCTAATAAAGAATAACAAGAAAAAAGAAAAGGCCTTTTATGAAAATAGCTAACCTCAAATACGCAGCTTTTTTGCTAAAAGCCCCCAATGACGCCTGGTACTGAATGGCATGTGGCGGGGGCCAGGTGACGCGTCATGTTGCACGAGACGTTGGAGACCAGCGCACCATACATAGCACACACACGCACGTACACATTGTAAATACTATTCCTCAAGTGGCAGCATTAATAGCTGCTGAAGTGGTCGTCATACCAATACCAGTGTAAAGGGAATTGTGACAAGTGAAGCGTGGACCCCGTGTGAAGCCACTACTCCGTTCTTTTTCTAGGCACACTCACAATTAGCGTGTAGTATAAGCACTCCGGCAAGATGTCACCCATGTAACAGACAATACCTTCTGCGCTGACTTAACATGCATCCGACACCGCATCAAACCCAACATTGTCTCATTATTGTGTATAGATGAGCGAGAGTTTGGCCTCTCTAACATTTCGCGTACCTGTCTATTCGGCAAACGTTGCCCACAATTAGAAATTGTGCCTCCATTTCTGCGCTTGTTGTTCAGTGTTCCTGTCATGATGAAGTGAATATCGTGATTCTTACCTGCTTGCCATGACGTTGGCGTTCAGCGTGAGCCAAGTGGCTACTGCTGCTGGCGAGAAAGAGGAGGCATCTTCTTCATGTCGGAATTCGTCGCCGAACTGTTTGTTGTCGTAAGCTTAACATTGGTCGCTACTGCAGAGGTGGTGTCATCCGCGACGAGTCGGCGGGTCACCCACGCGGATTGCGCTTGACAGAACATCAGGGAAACAACAGCTAGAATAGTAGAAGTAAGCACGGCTCCACGCCTTTGGATCACGCACAAGTCAGCACACAAATCGGTTGAAACAACACTTCGTCGAAAGGGGGCAGCGATGAAGGACGACAATAGCGACAACTGTGGCCTCGGCAGCAACGGTACCATTTCTTCGACCGAACGTACCACTGCGATCTGGATCACTGCAGCCATTTTTTCATAGAAAGTAACTGTTGTACGGCGGGTGGCTACGCTCGATAGGAGAGGGGATTCCTCTCACTCCGTATGCCGAGGAAAGGGCTACCATCGAGACTGACCTTGACGACCTCACCCAGTGACCACGGGTGGCGCCACCATCGACGAACGGCTGATCAGCCGACCAGAGTAAATCCCTCAAGCATCGTCTACTTTGTCTACCGCCCACTGCAATATCGCTATTGCCAGCACTTTTGCTAAACCTAGATTCGCTTCGTTCTGCCAAAGCGTGAAGGCGACAAAACGCGTTGAAGCTGGCAATATCCCAACGTTGGCCATTACGACTCCACCTCAGCCAGGCGGATGAAGCAGCAAAAAACGAAGCTACTGACGAAACATCACAAAGCAAGAGCGAAGCGCGTGGTTTAGAGAAAGAGAACTGGAGATCTGTCTACCATCTTTTGCCGTTACCCACAGCGTCGTCTAAGAAACAATTGAAAGACGACGAGAGAGCGAGCGAGCCAGCCCATCAAGAGGCTGTATTGAAGAGAACCGTACAATAAGCACAATTAATGTGTAATGCTTACGCAATGTAAACCTTGTTTTGAAAAGTATAGCTTTTCTGCCATTTGTATGTTCACACAGATCAAAGTAGATACAAAAAATATTGCTCTTGCTCACTTCAAGCGAGCAGGAAGTATCTGAGAAATGGGGATCCTCTACTTTTAAGGTGAACGTGATTACTAGCCACAAAAGACTTAATGAACATAGCACAGGGCTCGTCGATTTTAAATAAATGACATTTAAGATGATGGCGTGTACAGGAATAGATGACTCATCTTCATGATGTTTTGTAGGCTACAAACTGATTCGTCAAAATCTGAACGAAGTGCAGTAGTACTTAGTCAACTATTCACAAAAACACGAATTACCTGTGGCCGCTAACCTGTTAATAAAAAAGACTTTCTTTATAGTACATATTTTTCATAACATCAAACTTATTTGATTCAATCAACATAAGAGTTTTTTTTTAGCTGCAATAGAACGGAAATTAAATTCCGCCAGTAACAGCTGCCTACAACCGATTACAAAAATAACTGGGAATAAATTGTGCCAACGGTGTCTGTCAACAATAATGCTAATTCCCAATTGGATCCCGTCGTGCGGCAATAACGTTTAGCTTGACAAACTACAAACAACATTGATTTTTGTTTAAGTTAGTTCACCATTTGCTTACATAGCAGTTTTGTCCGAAGGAAGAGATCAAATAGATTTGTACGCTAAATTTTCGACTATTGTACAGACCTATGTATAGGCGTGTGCTCACGCTATTGCGCTTTTGTTTTGAACAAAGGCTGACTCGATTTCCCGTTTCATAAAATTTCGTCTATCTTTGAAACAGTAATAACGACACATGAATTAAGCAGTGATGCTATCGCTCACTGCCACTATACGCTGCTGCTGTTGTTCACACGAGGATTGCAGTCTTTCCAGTCTAGTCCCTACTCCTTCTATTAAGTCTTGTACGCCTTCTTCGGGTGATTCTTTGAAGGCACGCGGGCATCTCTCTTTCTCGGTATACGATATATTTTCAGCATTCTATGAAGGCCCGAACATTGAGCAGACGACGGCGAGCCGTTCAGTAAGCAGCCGATGGGAAAGGGCAGGCAAGCCCCCCTTGAGCCAACATTGCACTGAGGAATCCCCTGGTCTTCGTGATGGTTGGACTGCTGCGGCTGCCACTGGTGTTAACAACGAACGAGGTAAACAGAAGGTCCTACCCGGAGTGGCGAGTGCGCCCACAATGCTCCCGGCCAGAAGGTCTGGGTCGCGCCAGAACGCTTTGCGCGCCGAGTAGTAGAATTAGAGCGGCGGTTGCTGGTTAAACCTTCAGCTGTCGACTCCCCCCCACCCACCTACCTTCCCTGTGTGGTCATGCCGCCCAAACTGTGCACGCCAATTCGCCAGCCAACCTGAAGAGAACAAAGGTTGAGCTGTGCGTACAAAATACATAGCAAATGTACAATCGTGAGCGTTGTATGTGGCAAACTCAAGGTGAATGGCAAGTTAAGAAAGCGAAGCTGATTTAAAAGAAGTATCATTGTGGTCTGGTTCGACGAAAAGCACCGCAGAAGAGTTAAAAAAGAAAAACAGGAAGCATAACTTGAGGAAAAGGTACAGTGGCCGTGGAACGCGGAACAAATGCGCAGAACGACAATAGAACACAGACGAATCACAGTCGCACACACAAACACACACACCCACACACATACGGATGCACACACATACACAAACGACGCACACACACACACACACGTTCACGATCAAACGCACGCAAAACGCGTGAAGAGCAACTCGGCGTTTTCTCTCCTTTGCGCAGGTGAGCAGATGGTACTCAGCGCACATTATGCATCAAAAGCAAAGCTTGCGTCCTAGCATAAGGTCCTATAAAATCAAAGCAGATAGAGATTCGTTGCAGTTTATAATAGGTTTCGGGTATGTCTGTTCTTGCTAAACAATTTCTTGTACACAACGGGCACTGCGCTAATATCGGTAAACGATTTCCGCTTCGGTGCAAGATAGCCTCGATAACACTCAATTTTGCAAACATCTCATAGACTTCATGAAGTTGCACGTACTCATATTTTCGTTGTATTATCATCAAATCGAGTCTGGTATATTCAAAGAGAACGATTTTCAAGATGTCACTATACAAGGGTATTTAAGTTCTCTTGGAACTTGAACGCTACTGAAACAATTTTATCTACTACCAATATAATGAGATCCTCGATCACAGATGCTATACCTTCATGGAAAATAGAATCAACTGATATTCCATAGAAGAACACTGACTGTACTATATTATGCCATCCACGTGCATGTGTCTTGCCTCTGTCAAACCTAAACATCGCCACTAGGTGGCCACGTGCACATGTAAAAAGACGTGTTCGTCTTTAATGGGCGGTGTCACCAAGTGGAGAGGCATAATGCGGGATGGGCTTCTGGGCAATTCGTAAAACTTCTCGTTCTACAATAAATAACTAACCCTGTTGCGGTCACACCTAGTCTACCACGTAGAAACGACAGAAGCCTTTAAGCTATTATATCCATATCTTCTGACTGATTATAACAGGTTATTTGATTGAGCTCCGCGTCGATTGTCAATGCTTTATTGTGTACACAGAATGGCCAGCTCGCATATCCTCTGCACCGAGCGATAAAAACAGGTCTTGAAAACAACTGATTTTGCTTTTTTTTTAGCCTCAGTTGCAGCACTTAATCCGTTAGTGCGGCTGACAAATTTATGTTTTCGTTGAGCAAATACGATTGGTAACGAGAATACGTTTCTGAAGTACGGTTTTTTATCAGATACGATCAAAAGCAAAGCTTGGACTCCATCATGAAATCCTGCAAAATGAAAACAGCTAGAAATCTATTGTAGTTTATAATATATACGTATATATACCGCTAGGAACTCATTAGATAAAACTGCCAAATACGGAGTACTGGTTAGTTTTCGACTATATATATATACATATATATATATATATTAATGAAATAATTCGATCCGCAAACATTTTTGCTGTAAAATTTCCACACTGTGGACAAAGCAAGATCAGTGGGGTTGGGGGTTTTGCATAGAAGGTTTGTGGCATCGCATTTATACGCCTGGATGTGTCTGCTATAGCTGAGCGCGTATACTATTAAGAACATGGTTCGCGTTTCCCAAATTTACAGTGAAATTAAACAGCAGGAAAAGAGTGACCGAAACTGCCCCTGCCTATTTATTTACGGATTCTACCCTAATATTAAACATGTTTTATGAGATACTAGCTATTATTCAATAACGATTTTTTTTAGCAGCGCCATTCCGGCATTTTTTGTTGTGATTTTTTGTGTTGATGTGGAATAGACTTTATAGGAATAAATCTACAGATCAACATATCATAGTCAGATGCTCTACCGTATGTGAGTTTACGTTATTTCAAATAATCGAAGCATTGCCTATTATCAGGCCTTCACGTTTTGTAACCGTTCTCTTATTTATCGTGAGATTCATTCCTGACCCGTGATTGGCGCAATTACGCATCAGGTTTCTACTCATATAAATAGAGACGTTAGACCAGTGTCAGTATTGACATACGACTGTTTCGTTTATATATGGTTATCTCACTCTGTTGAACTGTTACAGGGTCCGAGCGCAGGTCAATGTTGATGCCTATCGGATTAAAACTTTGTTATGATTTGAATTCATTCAAAAATAGCCGCGGCTGTTCGATTGTTGTCTGCGTACACACGCTGTGCATGCGCCCCCACTTAAGACGTAATATCTGTTCGCTTATAGCCACTAAAACGATGCTCCCGTCTTTCATGGCCGCGAAGGTTCAAGCTCGCAGTATTTATCGATCGTACGAATGTGTATTCCATTTGATAGCAATTCAAGTGAATTCGCAGCTTTTTTACTGCAGAGAATCGTTTCCGACACACAAAATAAGTCAATCATTGTTCCCAGCCAGTGAGTGCACTTCCGTCGGTGATCTTACCAAAATAAGCAGATTTGTTAATTTGAACTAAACGTAAAAGTAGAATGAAATCGAATTTATAAGTTGAAAAATAGAATAACTAAACGAATGTTTATTAGGCGATTTTATAGCACATACACTGCTCGTCTTTCGACGTATACAACGCGAGGTGAAACAGAAGTTTGATTGGTAAATCTGAAACGTTTTACATACGGAAATAATAGGAGCTGCTACCAATCATGAAACGGTTCCAAATTAGACGTTGATATTAGAATGTTGCATTGACTTTTGCCGCTTTTCGACTGATCTTCTTGCAAACCATACGGCTCGCTATTAAATGAAACTTGAAAGCCTAACCGTCTCTCAATGATATGCAAGTATATACGACGTTGTTTTCTACTATAAGAGTTCTGAAGAAGGTCATCGGAAAAGCAAGTTACTGAGGCGTGTGATTTTACACGACTTGAAGTAAGAATAAGTACCTTTTAATTTATCAATTGCTTTCGAATTTTGGCGGTAAAACTTTGAGCGTGCGTCCGATGAATTGGGAAGCGTTCCGATGGTACATTAAAAGGGACTATCCAGTTAGCAGGATACGTGCGCGTACTACGAACGTCACAAACGAAGAATACTGTGACGGCTACGAGTAGCCGACAGGGGGTCGGTTGTTTGTATGACGGTTTCAGAAACGCGCACAAGGAACTATTTTTCGCTCGTTCTAGCCAATACCTATTATAACACAATAGTATGATTTATAGTAAATTTAGCGATAAGAGAGTTCGGCTAAAAATTAGCCCGCTAATAATATGGTTACGAATACGTTCTAACAACCAATGGATAATAATAACAACAACAACTTTTGCCAAATCGAAAAGTAGTTTATTAATCAAAAAAATTTGACTCTACCACGGCGTTGTTTCCGAGGGCAAATAGTTTTGACCATATATATCCCTATATTTCGTTGTTCAAAAATTACAAATCACTAAAGAAAACCAACGACTATTAATGTAACTCGACTATATCAGTACAGCTTTTCTGTAGACAGATATGTACCAGTGATAATTTTATAGAACAAGTTAGTCTATTTCTACTTATGGTATCTGCAATACAGGTCAGTATCGGGTCCATAATCCGTATGATTACGATGAGATTATTTAGCCTCATTCATTGGAGGTAGTTGATAAAGAAAATACATCGTTTTGTGCATATCCATAGAATTTCTCTTGGTTTTATTTGGGTGTCGTGTCACGTAGCATGACGCAGTTCCAACATAGGCGATCCCGTTACAGGTGCTATTACTGGTTGTACACCTTTGATTTACGTAAACAATATGTTGCTGTCCGACCGGGGTCTCCATTCTGTATCTATTAAATCCATTCGGTTCAACTAAAATTACATTTAACCGTATTCATAATAGCAAATTTCACCATAGAGAAAAGGTGAAATTGGATGGAAAAAAAACTTAAGTAACGTTTTTCGGCTATATTCGTCAAGCATTAGTTACAATCTATTCTCGATTGATTCCAGTATACTGTGGTGATGTAACCGCGCTTGCCTTTAGCCAAAGTGCTTCCTCTTATGAACAAAATATATTGAAAATCAGTACTTTTGCCTACGTATTCCATATACACCATCAAGGTAAGCAAACACGCAAGAACTGCCATTGTTAAGCAAAAGTGAGCATTTTGTCCGTTGTATGGATGATGAAGGTAACATAAAAATGAATTTATGTTCTCCATTACGAATCTTTTTTATATGCTATCGAAAAAATGATGTTGAGACAAATAGCCGAGCTAAACAGTTTGTCAAGATTATTGAAACAGACGTTTTACGTCTTAAAGCTAGCTCTACCTAGCCAATATGTTATTACTGGAGAGCAGTTTTGATCAATAGGTGACCAAAACGCGAACTGGTTCATAGTAATTATTAATTTATAAGTATTTTCCTGGCGAGGATGTTTTGAAGGACAATGCTCCCTCATATTATATTGGTCGATAACTTTAAGAATGTAGAAAGGCAAAAGTCCTAATCCATCTATGGACGACACACACATATATATTAATTTTAAAACTGTTTTGCAGTTTGAATATATCACAGATCAGATGGTTTTATTATTTCTAATGAATAACACCAAATGGCATTTCAGTACTAGCAAATATCCACTTTATAATAGCTGAACGCTTTCCATAACAGACAATATTATTATGTTTCAAACAGTCATTCGGTGTGTCCCAAATACAAAGAGGACAAATGAAAAATGGGTTACGAAGACCATGTCCCACTTTCCTCTATATCTATTCCCCTTTATGAAGAGAAGACCCCTAAACAACTTCCCATGTACAGCTGGAAAGCTAATCAATTTCGCCGCAGTATACTATCATGCTAATAGCGCAGACAGAACTGTTTCGTCCTTAGCAGCATAATTGTCTGGTCGTCTAGCGGTAGGCTTCACCAAACGCACACAGCGTGCACAGTTTTCGAGAGCAATAACATACATATACAGAACAACTGTAGAACGACAGCGAATATCAAGAACTAGAACCGCTGAAGTAAGATTAGATCTACTCGATTTTAATTTTTCAACTAATGAACGAGGCCTTTTTTTTCCATTTGAAAGGTGCCCATGTCCATTTTGTAACTCATTACAAGTCACTGAAGTGTACTAACTTTAGAGATTGGACGTCCACGAATGTTGACAGCGACAGAAATCCTTCACCTCTAATACAGGATATAGCTGGAATGATATTAGAGCACATGTATCAGCTTCTGTACCTATGTAATCATACCAGTCTATTATTATTTTTAATGTTGTTGTATCGTTTTGAATTGCAACAATGGCACCTAGGTGGCGCCAAGTAATTTAGGCCGTGTACGGAGGGTTTTTCTTCCAATGCACGGGGCCGCTGTTATGAGAACAGAAATAAAAAAACATGAGCCATTGTGCGTAGTCGCTGAGTGCAGGCTGAGAGTTTACTAGTTTTACAAAGAATTGTTGTTCAACGCAATTCTATTCAGAAAAAGAGAGATTTTACACAGCCTGGGGTTGGATGAAAGAACTGCGAATCGGGTCGGGCCCAAAGCCCGCCTATTAGACCCAGAAGACGGCACGACAACGCCGGCAGCGCTGGCGAGACGAAACCACTTAGTCTCCACGTAGCTGCATCGGCGTCAACAACGCTATAATATCGGTAACGCAAAGAATGACAAGATGGCTGCGACTAGATGCTTTGGTAGCACACGTTCAGGCGTTATCGTTCTAGACAATCATGCTGAAAGTTCATTAGCCAGGTCCTGCTGCTCCTACTATAACCGACAGCCACGCGCATGTCTTAGCTAAAACAAATCTACGAAAACGCATACTTCATTTGTTTACTTGCTGCCTTCGCCTGCTTCCTTCCTTCTGCAAAAACTTTCCGAATTGCGCAGCAAGGTTTTTGGTTTATGTTTATGCTCGGTGAACTGTAGTGCATGAAAGAGAGCGAAAAATGGCAAGACTATTGTGATTCTCTTAAATTGCGGCTGACTACTACGATTTGAAACAAGCAGCGAAATTGCGTCATGCATATGCACACTTTCGGGCTTTGTGGAACACACAGAAAAGCGCTAAGGAGAGTTTTTGTATACATCTGACCTTTCTAACCTCAATACAACTCCAGTCTACGCCTATATCTGTGGGCCTAGCCTCCCTCTCCAGAGAGTAGGGGCACCTTCGTAGTCTTTGCAGCTGGAATGCTTCTAAAGACCGGTGGAATACTCGATCGAATCCACGGGAAAAGCACGCACGGATGAAACAAACGGAACAAAACCGTCACGTTTACGTTTTGCAGAATACGCATATGAAGAAACGTGTATAATTGATACACGTGATACTTACTATAACTTATTTGAGAATTTTTGCTTCTCAAATACCCACAGAAAAAGCGGAAGTGATAAACACTCTTTTGTAATTATTACCCCAACTATTCTGGCTTATTGAGGTCACAAGAGAGATCAATACTACACGAGGTTATGTTGCAACAGTTTACCCAGGGGTTAGGAAGCTGTACCTATTTCTATAAAGGGAATTTGTGAGCAGGTCTACATAGACAAAAATGCATGATAATTAGTAACACCTGCACAATTAAGGTGTATACCTGTTGGCTACTTTATTGTCAGGATAGAAGGTAGTAAAATGTTCAGCTAATAGAGAATTATCTATCTAGGACGCCTAAAAAGCGTCTGCTTCTGTTTGGGGGTTGCTCCACTCGAAAGGTCAACGTTTGTCGCCCTTTCCCGACCTGGTGTAAGATTCGCAGTGTATGTGTGCTGTTATAGCACGCAGAGAGTGTGCCTGTCGTACGGTATGATCTGTCGTAATCCGGCTGAATGTTGACTGCCCACTGCAGAGACAGGACTCAGGGTCACGCGCAGCTGACCCTGCACTCAGGCTCCTTTACGAGCACGTTCATGCACACACATGCCGACCACCGCCTGAATTGTTGCTAGAGTCAGCTGATACGGTTAGCGTGAGAGGATAAAGGGAGGGAAGTTTAAGCAATGGCTGGCTGTTGTACAGACGAATCAGAATGTTTGCTGATACAGCACGAAAAACTTCCAAAATGCAAGACTGGGATGGCACATGTACGCATGTATCAAATGGGTCGGATAACCTTCAACGATGGCACCACACCTACACTAAATGTTAAAGGCAAGGCCGTAAAATGGCTACAGGTTTCATATTTTTAATGTCTGCTCACACTTGCTTTATAACAATAGTTTAGTCATGTACACATCCTATCGCACAAAAGGTTTCTTTTTTATGGAGGAGCGAGCGGATTTATTACGGCATAGATCAGTATCGAAATAAAGAGATGCAAATGAACGTTAGTTAAAAAAAAATAACTAATTGAATAACTTAAAAATAATTTGAGTGCGAAATACTCCAAATTTACTACATGATCTAAAAAAGGTCTAAATCTAAAAAGGTTACGGTGCTAATAAAAAAATAGCTTCACTCATAAGATGTTACTGCAATGTAATACATATTTGACAAAGCATCCGCATATAGCCTAGTCGATCAGAGAAAAAAAATGCTGTAGCAGCTCTATACACACAACAACGGTACGTTGTTGTGTGTATAAAGAAATATCACAATGTCAATGGGTTTTATTAACGAATGCCCTTACGGAAGTATTTTTTTCTAAATCATAACACGCTTTACTATGGCTGCATTAACGATGGTCCCATCGTTCACGCAATAGAATAATCTGAATGACCGTAAAGATTTTTCGAGTTCATTGAACACCTAAAAGTTTTTATCCTTGCATCAATAATAGACATTTCGTTTTTAACTTGGTCATATGCTATAGAATTATACTGTATTCTAGTGTGCAATGCAATGAATTTCAATAAGTTACGTAAAGTAACTTATTACAATCCGTTGCACAGTACATAAAGGTGTGCACCTATTGATCGAACCACCTGAATGCAACAACTGCCCTTCATTGAGGATAATGTTGTAGATTAATTAGTTACAAATATAGTTTTAAGCGAGCTTTTTCTAACACTTTTATATATACACATGTATAGATACATATATGTAAGGCCGATAAGTATATTATTTGGTCGTTCTGGATGTTTTTTTTTGGGTACCTTGACCTAGGCTCTGTAGGGCATCCATGCAAGATCTGTCGTCAGAATTTTTAAGCTATTAGAGCCATATGGAGCCAAATATTATCATGTGGCAAGACCAATCTGCAGAGTGCTCCTGTAGAACTTTTTATGTTTTCATTGTGTTGAGGTCAGTCTGATGACTTCAATGAGGTTGCAGTCTTCGTGGTCTATCTCTCTCATTTTCAGAGCTGTATTGTAGAGCAGTTTTGATCAGATTGCGCCATGTCCTCCAAGGTGCCAACATGGGGGTTGTTTATCTTGGCTAACGAGTGCCATAAAGCATAACGTTCCCACCAAAATTGTCGATTTCGTACAAAAAGAAGTTTCTTTCTGACGCTCAATTAATGATATACGTAAGTTGACGATATATACGATCACTTCTATTCTTATATAGCCCATTTGCCTGCCTTCGAGATCTTACTTAGTATGTGCATGTAGTTCAGAACGGTATTAAATTGTTATTGTGTAGAAAATGTTTAGAGATAGTGGGCCGAATTACCACGCAGTAAAGCTAACAGTCGATAGCCATATAGCCCATGAGGTCATCCGTATCGTGCTCCTCTGACGCAGACAGTTAGCTTTAGAGCCCCGGAACCAGTTTCGTATCGTGGCATAAAAGTTACTCGATACACAATTAGCCGCTGTTGTTTATGTTTGACGTTAACCAAAGTAACGAAGAGAGCAGCATCACATATACGGTTTTTCGATGTTATAATTCTTTCGCTCAGGACCTAGGATAGGATAGACCTATACGAATGGCGACCAGCTGCAGCGATAACGGAGCAGCTAAAAAGAGACGCCTATTAAATTTCAAAGTAAATGGGTAAATTAAATGTGCAGGTGGTAAAGGTTACCGAACTTCCGTCTTTTTTTTTTCTTGCAGGCCAAATCTTATTTGCCGTTCCTACAATTACTACCGTCATCTCCATCATGAGGACAACATCTCTTGTAGGTTGCCAGCGGCGTTAAAGCGCCTTTTGCTTCTGTGGGGACGCGAGTCACCTTTCTAGTGGCACGCTGGCCAGCCGCCGAGAAAGTCGCACGCTTCTCACCAACACCAAATGCACAACAAGAACAGCAAGTTCAACACTACCGCCATCATTAGATCGTCACGTGACGCTTTCATCATCTTTTGTTTCTGCTGCTGCTGCTGCTGCTGCCACCACCGCCGCCGCTGACAACGCCACCGCCGTGAATGTAGTGACAGCATCAACAAAAGAAACGATAGCAGTGACAACAGCGGTCGTAACTGCCACAGAAAGTATTACAACGATTAAACCGGCATCATCGGACAGAGCAACAATCGAATGGTACAACGATAAGAACAGCAACAACAGTCGTGGTCACAGCTTGTCAACGGTTACTGCGAGCCCCACAACAACAACAACAATCGTATCGGCGACACTAGGAAACACCGTGAACGCAACAAAAACAACGGACCATATCGCAACGCTAGCAGGGGGAGCTACGGAAGGATCAAGTGCGGCAGCGTCAGCGACCGTCACATTCACATCGATTAGATCAAAATACTTTAACGACAACAAACATTCATCCCACAGTTACCAGAGCTCACACACGTCGGTGCTCAAGAACACGAACATCGGTGGCTATCAGTGCCGACAGCATCACTATCAGCCAAGTTATCGACGGCGGCTCTTTTTGTCAACTCCTCTTCTGCCTCGTTCTTTAGCTTTGTCATCACCAAATAATGCACGTGTCGCTACGACAACGATAGCAACGACCTCGAAATTAAACGGAGCTAGTAGTCCAAGCGTAGCAGCAGCAGCAGCAGAGACAACGGTAGTAACGACCGCAGCTTCAGCGTGTTCCTCGCCAGCAGCAAGCACTTCGCTAAGTCGCGTTAGCAGTTCTGCGCCGCCAACGCCCTCGCCGCTCCGACGCACTCGACGCCAGTCAACACTGTACAGCAACCCGTTAAGCGGCACTGGCACTCCGGCGCAATCACCGGCGCGGACGCCTCGCGCCGGCCGCCGTGCTAGTCCGTCGCATCGCGGTCGTGTGTCACCATCGTCCGCTGGCGGCCTACCCTATCGAACTCATCTTCTACTGACAATGGATGGAGCTCGACCCGTCTACAACTATTACCATCCCTCACATGGCTCCTCATCAGCGATGTCCAATGCAACCGCTGGTGCAAGCGGCGTCGGCGGGGGCGCTGCTGCATCTGCGCGTGGTATTGGTGGTAGTAGTGCAGGCTGCGGTAATGGCCATAGAAGGCCTTCAGCGGCCGCTCGTCGCTCGACGATACGTTCACAAGCGTCGGCGCGATCACGGAGACGCGCTTCTTCGGCACGCTCAAGCCGACAGGGTGGCTCGAACCTTATGGATCGACAATGTGCCTTAATTCTTATGTATGGAATTTACTTTTTTTACGTGCTTGCGTGCTTCGGTGCGATCTCGACCTTCGCCGGCCTTATGCTGCGAATATCGAGTAAGCAGCCCGACGCACACGACAAAGGCAAAATCATCTCAGGAGTCGGTAAGTGTCGTAGACGATTAAATTCGACACACATCATGTTGCCATATTATAATAAACGTAACGGCAGAAAGTTGGGCTAATGATGGTAGTACTACATTGCTCTAACGACTTTTTACTTAACGACAGTTTTACGCCGTTTATTTTAATACCGAGAGTGCTTCGGATCGGTGCCCTCCGGCATAAAACGAATTTTGCGTTACAATTTCCGTCTGCGGTATGTCCGCAAGATTCTTGGACAGACACATCTTCATTCAAACGACTACGGAAGTTGTAGCAATGGTCTTATTATTAACAATGTATTTGATCGTTACATGTCATCGGCTTTCAAGACAAACATCATTAGATGAAGTTTTACGTTATACCTTGCGCCGCTGGCCCTAGCTATTACGGCTTTACTAACAACTGGTTTTTATACTACCAGAAACATATATTGACGGCGTGCTTACAAAACAATGCGGGAAAATAATTTACCCTGGCCACGTCAGATCGACGCTTTAGTGAGGGTACGTTTGTCGGACCTTAAACTGTGCTTCATCAAGCATGCGTTATATTAACCTTACCATGAATGATGCTGAGCAAAGCAAGACAAATAGCGATTCCTCTTCATATTTTGCGTTCACGTAGCCATAGTTCAGCCGATAGATATAGTGACCTGTGCGAGATTCGAATCAGGCAGTATTTGCCCTAGAGCACGCGGGCCAACCGAAATATTCATTCGCCACCGGAAAATTAGGCGAAATAAATAAAAACTAAAATATATAAACGATTCTTCGCGTTGAGCAATATTAGTAGCTTTCTGGCATTAAAAACCACAGATTCTTTTGCTGTTGGCAAGAGCCTTTGCACCTCTTAGACCGAATACTTATCTACAGGAGCTATACCTTAAAGGCAGCGGCTTCAATATAACGTTACGCGTAAGTAACTCATAACGAAGAACTGTGCTCTAGTTTATTCGCTGGTTATGAACATTTGAACACTATAAATTTGCTGCTAAATAGGAAATCAGAGTCAAGTTATCATTTGGCAATACCTAGTATAAGTTACCATCAACAAATTCCTAAATCGAAGGTTATCATTTTGCCAGTAGGTTATTCCGTTCCATAGAAGGACGCACGCGCAAACATGAACACGATGGTGTGGAACTGACTACAAAAAAAGCAGCAGTGTTAGTGTTAGTGAAAGTTTTTTTTTTAATTACATAATACATCCCTATTAAAAGTATACAAAGAGGAAAGGCGCATACGATATGAAGAGTTGTAATGAAATAAATATCGCAGTGTATCATTACGCAGCCCATATGCGCCAAAGCCTTCCGGATTACTTCCAGTCGCCTAATCTCTGCTTACAGAGAAAAGGTCGTCAACGATTTTCGCTTACTAGCCAATAAGAACGCTACTGGCACATTTAATCAATTACGACTCTTCATATCAGCAGTGTCCATAAGAGTGATTCAAGCATTACTTATATACCACTAGTGACATAGCTTCCAGCCAGGCCAAGAAGCTGCTGTTAAAGATGCTAGGCATGGACCTAATACTTGATTCAATAATGGTGTTGCAAGAACGCTGCGGCCTGAATTGGTCGGACGTTTGTGATTGGGCTTCGAACGACGTGAAATTCGTGTGATATTGTATTGTATGGTGCATATAATTGAATTTTATAATAAGACAAAGGATGAGGAGTTGCTACGTCCAACTATTCCGATGGAATAACCGTTGTTCATCTGCATGGATAGATGTCCAGAAGCAGAGGAAGGATTACACGTGATCATCAGCGAGTCATAATAATGGATATAGTTTACATTGAGTGGTCGAAGCACTGGTCGAGATTGATACGTCTCCGTAATAAGTCACTAGCAAATAACAATCACTCGTTTTGAGCCCATGCTGATGGTGGTGATCGTGACGGGCATTGTTGACCAACTGGTGTCATTTTGCGTGGCACGATGAAAAGCCTTCTTTTTACTTTGTTGGATCAATCTAAGTGCTTTACGTTCAACAGGACCAGACAACACGGGACCCCAACAGGGCCATTCGATCAGACAGCACGAAACGTGCCCGCTTTTGAACCTAGGCCATCACGTGTGCTTAGTGGGTAAGGTGCAAACACACTAAACTCTTATGGGGACTTACTAAATCGGCCTGGCAACACACGTTTGATTTTATTCAGGATATAGATAGCAATTAATAAAGTACGGTGAAATATAGTTGATGGCAAAGGGCAAACCCAAACAAATTTCTCTATTTTCATAGGAACAGGACAACGGTGCTTCGATCATGGTGCGGCCAAATTGGCTTGTGGATAATGTCATTGATCCATTGTATACTGGGACCAAGAAAAGTACGTTCGAGGCAGGGACGGGCTTTGAGTTTAGGCACGAATAGCGATAGTTGCTGTTCTATCTATTTGCTTTAACAAATGATTATTTTTATGATTTCAAATTCAGGAAATTAACATGCCGCAGGACAGTTCGGCCATTTTTGTCTTTGCGGTGGTCTAATCTGGAAGTTGACGTCCATCGTATACAAACACTAACGACGATGCCGTTTCATTCGACAAGGATTCAATAGGCTAAAAGCTTTATTATTAGTATTATAGTGTGGATGTTGGTGCTGGTTTCAGAGCTTATATCGCCGAGTATGTTCAGCCAGTCAGAAAATGACCTATTCAATAGATAGGTAGAAAGGAGAAAATTCCTATAGGATTGGAAATAGCCTATTAAAGAAACAGGTTAGCGTGCTCGGGTCTTGCTAAAGTCACATTCTACATAGAATTGCTACAGTGAACCCTAAAGAACAGTCTTGCAATAAGTCAGTTAACCATGGCTTTTCGAAACAGGCTTGGCAAGAAATCCGGATAAGCTGGCTAGGTGTTCGAACAGATTAAACCGGTGAAGATTTCGTGATTTACTATTAAAGAAGATTAGTTGAGCTTCGGCTAGCAATGAATTCGACTAATATAATTCCTGGTGTACATACTCCATAGCGTATTACAAAGCGTATCATTCTGAAAGAAAGCGCAATATTTAATTAAAACTCCCTTCAAACTAATGCGAGTGAGAGCTAATGAGATATATCCAAGGTTCGCCAAAAGCAATCAACTCTGTCCTACACAGACCTTTTTACTCATAACACTCCGGATTGAAATCACCTAGTTTAAGGCTTTAAAAGGTGTCATAAAACTGGATCGCAGCATTAGCATCTATTGTATTAACGGTAAACACCTTCAAAATGGTATTGAACTAAAAAAAGGTCCCATCTCCGAGTACGACAACTCTACGACATGCTAAGTAGAAATCATGTTGGAAAACAGATGCGGTGGGCTTTACGATAATAATTGTTCAGTTGGTTTGTGCGCAGGAACCGGGTCGTTTTTTCTTTTTGAACGTTTATTGTTAAGTAAACAACTGCTATACACAACACATGGCCCGTAAGGACATTAGCGGCCCACTTTTTCTTTTTTCGTTTATACAAATCTTCATCGGAACATCTCGAAGCGCATCGCTTTTCTCAGATTTAGTTAGTCTATAATTGGATTAAGCTGATTCACTTGGGTCGGAAACATCGAATAACGCCGATAATAAGAGAACGTTTCAATTTTGAAATAATAGATCACTATGGTTGTAACGAGGCCGAGATATGGTTAATCTTTTAGTTTTCATTTTTAACGAAAAAAGCCACCAATTTTATCTTACGTCCCACATTATAGCGGCTGGGAGTATTCCTAGAAATACTTAGATTGTTTCGGGAAAATCGACCGCTAAGAAAGTTCGTGGAAACGGCTTTCCGCTAGTAGAACTAAAGCAGCATTATGGGCGTGGAACAGCTAGCCGAGCTATGTGTAGCAATACGCCATCGTCCATTTAGTTCCGGTTGTTCATGCTCAGATTAATGCAGCTTAACACTATCTTGTTATGTAAGCTAATTCATTACGGGGCATATTTTCTAAACCTATCAACTCATTGCCATTCCGAAGACGCAGTAAAGGTAATGATAGTCAGCATTAGTTTATTAGTAGGGAACACTAAACCCAAAAAACAGTATAGCAATATACACGTTACTGCGATATCGTATCTCGGCACAATCTATGTTCGGGACCCTGTGACGTGTGTAAAAAATACTCTAGATAAATATAAGCGAAAATGCTGCTGAACGGTGATAACTGTGACGTTCAAAGGAAACGGGACACGACAGCTTCACTAGGTGGCGGTTTACAACGCACCGTGGCTTTGAGCATGCCCAGTTCTTTTCAAATCGCCTAAATACATAGTAATTGTTGATTATTCCACAAGAACGTTGTTCGAGGATCAGAAGCTGCTTGCATGCTTCTCGAATCAGTCCGTGTCTTTCTGCTTTGAAAGGCTGAACGTTACTCTTTGGTGGATACGTATTCTGGTGAAGACGGTCTTTGCAAGTAATTCGTAACTCAAAACCTTGCATCGCCAAAAGGTCCACGATCGTATGCCTTCCGTAGCCATCTGCCGGTCACATGATTAATGGTAATTCTACTAAGCTTAGGAATGAATTTTTCAGTAGCACATAACGGAATTCGCCACCGAAACAGCTATTGTTATTTTCCGCCTTTTCGTACGACAATTTGTGTCGTGGTAATTATCTGAATCACCGAAAAGAAGGTTATAATTAAAAATACTGGAAGTGACTGAAGATGTTTATTATAGCGCATGCTAGATAAAAATGACTAGGGATTTCCGGTGGGATTGTTTCATCTGTACTATGTATGTGCCTGTATTTTCCTTTGATCCACATTTTCTGACGTCCATTGCCCATTGCAGGTCACGGGCGGTCGCATGCTAGAAACCGCTACGATGTGGGCGCACAACGCTAGGATTCCCATATAACAATCAGCATTAACAACAATAGTGAGAGAAAAACATTTTGAATATTCAGATTGGGGAGCGCTTCGTAAGCATGGTCCGTGTGCGACAGTTCAGCTGTTGCGGCGCTAACGTAACTTAAGAAATTGGGCTCGGTGACAGTGCA